TCCCAGGTCTGACATTATGAATTGTATAATTTAGAGGAAGTTATTAATAGCTATGTACCTCAGTTACCTTATCTGTAAAGTGGGAATAATAATATTATGTTTCAGGGTTTTGAGAATTAAGTTGATAGAAATAAAACCCTTAGAATGGTGCTTGGAACATAAGAGCTCAGTAAATGTTAGCTAATATTTCTGTTATCATTGTTAGCTTCACCCTCCTGAGTAAACTCCAGAAACCAGACTGGGAGACAGTCTAGGGGTTTCTTTTTCTTTTCTTCCTCTAAGCTTGCTGGCAGTTCATTTTCCCTACAATGGAATGATAAAATGTCCCGTGTGTAGATAATAAGAGTATTAGAGGAGCTTATGTTCTCTACAGAAAATTCTAAACAATGAAGTATTTTTCTTTAGAGGTGTTCTTACTCTAGTCTCTTCTACCTTCAGATTCGCTTACTTTTGTCTATCATCATTCCAAACGTTAGCTGAAAATAGGTCAGAGTTGAAATTAGCCTGTTTATTTAGTATAATAATAAAGGGTGTATGAAGAGGTACTAAATTAGTTTGAAAATTATTGGCTAAGATGTCAGTGTTTGTGTATAAAAGCAGATTATTAGGAAATTAGTGGCATTGGAAAAGAAAAAAAGGGGTTTTGCAAAAGGAATCCTTTGGGAGCCTAGGCAGGTCTTCCAAGTAGGAGACGAGTTGAGAAGTCAGTAATTCAGGCAGTCAGTATGGTTAAGAGTTGCTTCCTGCCCAGTACCATGTGTTCCTGGGGGCTGGGCATTTTTAACAGTTCACAGTTTCTAGTTCCAACTCAGAGGGTTCGGCTTAGTGTGTCAGTGGATGAAGGTTTCATTGGTTTTCTTATGGGAGGGATTAAGCTTTTTCATACCTTTCTGGTTTGCCAAGGCCAAACTAAAGTGACAAATATATACTAAACTATAAAGAAGATCAGTTGCTTTAGGAGTGGGCAGCAGTGTAGTGATTGCAACTCAGAATGTATCTGAGTACTTGTGTGTACTAGGAGGGTTTTAACTTTGCATCACATGAAAGTAGAGTACCTGCCTTATCAGAGCTACTCGAGGTCTAGAGTCCTGAGGCTGATTCGGTTCCTTAAAGCATTTAGCAGCTTTGTGCATGACTGTCTCACTTTTTAGGACACTAGAGAGCAATAGAAGGCAGTGTAGGCTAAAGGTGAGAATGTGGAGTTGGATCCAAGATGAGAACAACGTGGGTGAATCATGGCATTCCAAATACCTTTCTTCATGCTGTGCACACTCTGCAGTTGCTATGATACTTTATCAACTCTTCTCCCTCAGATTTTAACCATTTGGTGCTCTGCTTTTTGCCTTTAGAAACAAGGCTTCTCCGTTCAGAATCATCTCTCCTAAATGGAGACACTGATGAGAGCACTCTATCTGATGAATACTCTGAGCTTACTGAAGCCCAGAATTCAGAAAAGCAGCAGTAATCATGAAAGCTCACTTTGCAATGTTGGGGCCAGATTGGGAAGCTTGGGAGGAAAGTTCACTTTTGTCAAAAGGAAATTATGAAATAGGGAAGAAATAATTGTGTCAAAGCCATAGTGACCCATCCAAGCTTTTTGAGGCTCCTGAAAGGAAGAAGGCTCTTCATGGTGCACTTAGCTACATTCTCCGCCTGTCCTCTGTTGTTTGATGCTAGCCTTTGAGCAGGACTTGCACCTGGACTTTGTAGACTCTCTGACTTAGAGGTGGTGCATGTGATTACACGAGAGAAAGGGAGGGATGTTGACGTGCTTCTTCTCTCTCCTCTTTCCATGCAGCACACACACCACAGATGAGAAGCAAATTGGGTCACTTTCCATGTAAGCACTGTTTCCTTTCCAAGCCTTTGAGTTGTGGGAAGAGCTGTGATTTTTTAGGACAATTGGACAATTAATCCAGACTGTTGTACATCAGGGCCTCCCTGTCCAAGCCCAGGTCTGTCTTGAGGGCTGACTCCTGCTGTCCTGCCTCCCTTTCCTGAGTCTTCCTGTTGCATTTCCTCCCAGCCTCCTCCTGTCTTGCAGAGCTCACTGTGCTGAGCTCTTTTTATAGCACTCACCACAATCTGCTCCTGCATCAGATTAAATGGTGTCTATTTCTCCCTTATTTAGGACTTCTGGAGCAAGAGCCTTGCCTTTTTTTCCCCCTTGAATGTTGTTCTCCAGTGCCTATCAGTAGGTTTGGGGCTACCTTTGCGGGGGTATAGTCCACATTTATTAAGTGTTGTGTTAATTGCAAAGGATTATTTTTAAATGTGAATTTATCACAATCCCTGAATCATAAGATTGTGCTTATGTAGTTAGTCTGCAATAGCCAGTTGTTCTTTATCATCTGTTAGATTGCCACATAGGTTCTTAGTAAATGATTCTTGAACTAATAGATATTTAGTACTTATGTGCATTTCTCAAATCACATTTAAAATAATGTAGTGAGAGCATAAGACCACCAGAAGGAGACTACCAGAAAGGAAAATCTAGGATAAAAAGAAAGATTGACCCATTAAAGACATTCTTGTTGCCTTTAAATATGTATTAAATTACGTAAAAGTGTAGAAAATTTTTTTAATCAGGAACAAGTTTATTCAGTTCATAATCAATGAGAAGAGGAGAGCTAAAATTTTAATATGCAATAATGTCATCTTATTTAAATTTATTTTACAAAATATTCTGGATTGATTGTTGATTTTTCAATTGAAAGTAGGACTTGAGGTGTACTATTACTAAAAGTACAAATTTATTAAACTGGTGCTTTAATTATAATTTATTATTAATAATTTCCAAAAATGTTTCCTCAAGCAATAATAAATTGCTGAATGGGCCTCTTTTAAAACTTAAATCAAAATTTATTTTTTTTAAATTTTAATTCTTGTGCAGTTTGGATGTTATCTACATACTTAAGATAAAGATGGTTATTATTTTTTAATATTTGGAGCTCAAAGTGTTCTCATATAGACACTAGTGTGTTTGTTCACTAAGTAAATATTTGAGAGCATTCTGTAGGGAAAAGGAAAAGAGATTCCTACCTGCCTGAGGCAACCTCAGGTCAGTTGTATGGCTGAAGTTTTTGTGTTGTTAAGTGTACTAATGGTCAGGAAAGGCCTAACGCGTAAAGCAGCATAATCTGCCCATAAGCTCTGTCGGTGCAGGTGGAGTGCAAGCCAGGGGAACTCAAGTACAGCATCTCAATGGTGTGACAATCCCCCCAGAGGGAGAGTGTCCAAGGGGAGGGAGGGGCAACCTAGCAAGAGCTGGAACTCTGGAAAGACTTCAGATGATGGGCTCAAGGTCAGCTATGAGTGGCAGTTTCTCAGATATGTGCTGGAGGGAGTGGCATTCTGGTCCAGCAAGTGGCAGGCTACTTAGATGTGCAAAAGCCTTGGGTTTTGTTCTTTTTCCTATAATACAAAATGTGAAGGGTTTTGTGGCATTAGACAAGGATGAAAAAGGTCACCAAAGCCTGGGATGCTGTGCACAGGACAGGACGTGCCCTTTCTTATTTTAATGCTGGAGTGCAGCCCGGTGGTCTTGGAGTTCATCGCCTTCACTCCCACTGTTTCCTCTCCTGTATTCTCTCACTCAGTCCTACTTGGACAAGCGAGAAATCTAGGTATTTTCCTTATCTTTTTTTTTTTTTGTCATGTCCCAGATTTGACCCATCACTATCATCAGGCTACTTCTACATCTCTCTCTAATCTCTGAACATCTCTTGGTCATCAGTGCCCTAGTTCTGGTTTGCACACTGTTGTTATCAGTCTCCTGTGTGGTCCTCCATCCCTGCATCCTTTCCTCTCCAGCCTGTTCTCATGCTCCAGCCAGAGAAAATTCTAAATGCAAATCTCAAACATACTGTTTCCTGCTTGATTGTGGCCTGCCTTTGGCCTGCCTAGCTCCTTGGCCTGACTTTCAGGCCCCTTCTGCTAAGTCTTCAGCTAGGATTCTCATGTGGTATGGTAGAGATGGCTTCTGCCAGGCTGAGCTCTGTTCTTCACCTGAACCCCACTCTGGCAGCTCTCACCCCATCATCTCAAGACCTGCTGAAATACCCTACCTTCCCTCTGCTTGACCCTCAGCCCTGTCCTTGGGATTAGTGCTTATAGAAAGTGTTTCCTGGTTTCCAAATCTAAATCTAGAGCCCTTGTTATGTGGACCTATCCTACCCAGTATTTACCCAGTTGTGACATTTACTGAACAGCATTGTAATCACTTGCTCAGTTATAACTTTCCTATAATAGGCTGAGAGTTCTGTGACAGCAGAAACCAAATGTAGCTTCTCTGCCATTTTATTCCTGGCCTCTAGCACAGAGCCTGACATGCCACAGGTATTTATTGACGATTTGATCAATGTAAAGTACTTATTCCAATGTCCAGCACATTGTAGATAATAAATAATGGTAGTTTTATTGCTTATTATCATGTACAACAGCTGCAACTATTATTCTCTATATAGGCAATAATATCAAATATACAAATAGGTCATGAGAAAGACCTGGATGTGACAATGGATGTGAAAAATTAGAAAGTGATAGTTCTTTATTCGTAAACTCTCTAAGACTTGGTGAGAGCAGAAGACAGTTTATCATGATTTGAAGAGTAACTACAAGGAGAAGAAGTGGAGACCAAACAATTTGTAAAATGTTTTCTGGACATGAGAGTCTATCCACGGGCTAGTAGTTAGAGAGGCAGTGGGATCAGAGGAATACGTTTTTAGATGAAGAGAAAATGCTGTGCATGTTCCTGGGCGAAGGAGAAAGCCCAGCAGAGAAACAGGTGTGGAGTTGGATCTGACCTCCAGGTAGAAGGTCTAGTTTCACCCCAGGCACCTTTCATGATAGAGAAATGATGAGAAGAGAGGTAGGAATGTGTGCATGGTTCTGGAGAAAGGAGAAAAGTGACATTGATAAAAAGCAGATTGAACTTTGTTGTCTAAAAGGTATTTTTTTAAGCAAATCCATTACATTCTTTCATCTTTTTTTTCTTTCAGCTGCTCGGGGGTCTCGTCTGGATTTTGGTGGCCTCCTCCAACGTTCCCCTACCTCTGCTACAAGGATGGGTCATGTTTGTGTCCGTGACAGCTTTTTTCTTTTCTCTTCTCTTCCTGGGTGTGTTCCTCTCTGGCATGGTCACTCAAATCGATGCCAACTGGAACTTCCTGGTAAGGAGTTTCTATTTTAAATCTCTTGCAAGAAAATGTAAGAGACTGATTGATATCTCATTCTGTTTGGAAATGCCCGAGTCTGTCTTCTGTTTGTTACCATCTTTAGGAGAGAATGGTTTCAGGCCATGGGTGCTGCTAAGGTGCCTGCTGCTTGCCTTGATGGACAGCAGAGTCCCAGTTTGTGAAATTCCCATTTAGTGGAGCTGAGAAATCATTCTGTTTCTCCTTTATGGCTCATAAATGAAACAGGGTTTCATTTCATGCAACAAATGAGTTTCATTATAATTATTGAACGATTGAACAGATGCATTTTGAGAACCAAATGTTTTCACGTGTTTCTTGAAATTTTCCATTGATTTCTGTTTCATATATTTCATTATATACAGTGGTCCCTCAGTATTCTAGGGGGATTGGTTGCAGGCCCACCATCAGGATACTAAAATCTATGGATGTTCAAGTTCTTTATATAAATCGGCACAATATTTGCATATAGCCTATGCATATTTTCCTGCATATTTTGCCATCTGTAGATAACTTATAGTACAAGAATTAGTAAGGTATACAAAAAGTTTACAACCACAGTTTTTAAAATCATGACATCATTAAGTTGTACCAAATTACTTTGTTCTCCTGTGTCAGAGATGTTTTCATGATTGTGTCACTCATTCTCTGGGACTTATTTTAGGAAGACCCAGTGCAGCCTGATTTCAATCCATGGTGCCAGAGCTATCATGAAATTCATGTAGAGCCCCAGGAAATTTAGATCACACTTTTTTAAGTTTTAAAACTTACAATCAGACCTTCAATCAGGCTTTATATATGTTCTTTCCAAGTATAATAACGTTTTGCTCAGCAGCTCTAGGACAGATGTTATAGGAAAATATCCCCTGTTTAATTTATAGAGCATGAGGAGAGCTGTATGTACTCTGCTTGTTTCAGCAGCTCCTTTATGACTCATAAATGAAACAGGTTTTCATTTCATGCAACAAGTGAATTTTATTACAATTATTAAACAATTGAACAGATACATTTGAGAACCAAATGTTTTCACATGCATTTTTCACATGCATTTACATTATTTTTCACATGCATTTACATTTTTCACATGCATTCACATGGTGAATGTGACTGCTTGTTCATCCCAGAGGCAAGAAGGGCAAGTGGCCCAGCTTAGTGGGTGCAAGGATTGCAGTCCTTCACAGCCTTGGAGCTTGGGTCTGGTTTGCTTAATAGCTATGTAACCATGGGCAAAATAGTTAGCAACTCTAAATTTTAATTTCTTTTTCTAAAGTGGTCATAATAATACCTGTCTGACCAGAGGCTATTAAAGAATAATGGAAGTAATGAATTACATAGTGTTTCCTTCTGTCTGGATTACAGCAAGCAGTCAATAATTCTAATTCCTTAAACACACCGAGGCTTACAGTTTGGAATTTTGAAAGTCCTTCCATTTCCATTACATTGCTAATGTAATCTATTTCTACATTTTTGCCCTAATTTCTCATTATTAATGAGAAAATATTTCTAATAGTCATGAGATAAAGATCTAAAGTCCCAATCAGATCGAAGATAGAAGCTTCTTCTTCTCTTTGTAAACACCTGGTTTTTCCATAATAAGTGTAAGAATGAATCAATCTCCAATTTTGGTAAGGGCCACCGAGTTCTTTAAGTATCACACTCATAGATATTAGGCCAGTTTCTTCTTCTGTAGTGCTATTGGTACTATTAATAGTCACTGTCCCAACCCATTTGCCTCTTCCCAAATGCTCCACCCACCACTCTGACACTTCCCTGGACCTTTCTGGATTCTCTAATTGCCCAGTGTCTATAGGAACCTGCAGTGGCCAGCATTCTGTCTAATTGTCTTTCTAATTGGTTGATGAACATTACTTAATAAAGGTTAAATATCTTGAAAGTATAATTCCTGGTCTTATTAGATCTATATCTCTATAGTCTTTTTTTCCTTTTGCTTGTATGAAGTCTTATCTTTGGTATTGAGTACAATCATGCATTTGGTAACTTTTTATTTTTCCTAAACCTGTATTTTCTGCCCATTTGTATGTATCATTATATCTGAGGTTCAGAAAATAAAATGTAAGAGTTTTTGCTATATTAAGTAAACCACTATATGAAAGTGACAATTGAAATTGGAAAGATCTATCAGTTTGTGCCATAGGACGCCTGCCAAGTTTATCCTGGTTTTTTTTTTTTTTTTTTTTTTTAGTTGGAATAGTCCACTCTTACTGAAGCAGAAAATTGAACAGGTTGAGAATCTTTTATCCAAAAGGCTTGGGACCAAAAATATTTCAGATTTTGGGGCCCTTTGAATTTTGGAGTATTTGTATATTGAAATGTTTACTGCTCAAAATGTTTCAGATTTTGGAGTATTTCAGATGTCAGATTATCAAGTTAGGGATGTTCGACTTACAATAGCAACACACACCACATAGTACAGTAGATGTCGTAGTTTAGGGCTTGTCACATGGTAGACTTGCTTTTCACGGAGCTAACTCCTGCCCCCGGAGAGTTTATTAAATGCTTTCATTTTTGGAAACAGGGTTCCTTTTGATAGGTGTGGTGGACCATATCTATAATCTTAGATACCCAGGAGACTGAGGAGGATGGCAAGTTCCAGGCCAGCCTCAGCAACTTAGTGAGACCCTGACTCAAAATAAAATTAAAAAGGGATGTAGATTCGGCTCCATACAGAGCAGTTGCCTCACAAGTTGAGGTCACTCCTTGTTTGTTTTCCTCTTAGGCATTTTTCTTCTTTCTCATTCATTTTTTATCACATTGCTGGCTTTTAGAAGGTTTCTTATTACATCTTGTACACACTCAGCCAGGAAAATTTTCGAGCCATACTTATCATGCAGTCAGCACCAGATGGTAACAATTTTTAATTGCGACATTCTGGAAATGTTAAAGATTAATTGCTCAAAAAATAATTATTTTCTCTTGTGATAATATTTTAATTCTAACTGTATAACTTGCATTTTAATAAATAATTTACTTCCTATCAGTGTTTGTTATATGACACTGTCTACCATATTCCTTCTTATTGATCATGCAATTAAATTCGTATTCATAGTACTAGATATGTTCAGTATTTTTCTCAAGCTTTCTAACCTTAGCATAACTGTTGACATGAAAGTACAATATGTAATAACATATATTAAAATCTAAAAACTTGCCCTATTCTAATCCAGGGAAGAGAAGATTTTGTTTTGAAACAGTTTGTTGGGTTCTTGTTTTTATTTTTGTTTGGTGGAAAGGTGTTAATACCATTGTTAGCCTTACTTTAAAGAAGAAACTCCATATTTCTATCCTCCTTTTCTTAGGGAGGTGATGTTCTTATTTTTAGAAAATTGAAAGGAATTATTTTAAAATCCTGTATAGTTAAACATGCTTCCCAATATTCCTTCTAGGTAAAACTGGCACACATTTGATCAATTTCCAATATATTATAAACATTTAACAACTTAAATGTCCTGAGCCAGTTTTCTGCCCCACATCCATTTACTTATTTGACTTTTAGGACAGCTCTTTATAGATAGCAAGTATCACTGTCTTCATTTGTACAGGTGAGAAACTTAAGTTCACAGTGACTGCTGTTCCTTTTCACGCTGATCTTCTGTAACCAGGATTCCCAAATATATGATGCTGCTGTTTTTACTTTATCAACTAGTTAGTGAAGGTTTGACCCTGGACCGAAGCACCTAGCATGGGCTGAAGACAGGAATGTGGGAGAGAGTCACTTGTTGCTGAAAAGATCCAAGCTGTGTTTAAAGCTCAGGTTGTCTAAGACAAACGTGATGATAAGAGGGCTGTGTTTAGGGTGTGTGAGCACTGAGAAGATTGGCAGAGAGGAGGCCATGTGAAGGAAACTCAGAGAGGGACTAGGATCATCTACTAACGAGGGCACACAAACAGTAGGCCCTGACCAGAGCATCAGCAGCAGCTGGAAACTTGCCTGAAATCACATCCTCAGGTTCTACCCAGACCTGCCAAGTCAGAAACTCTGGGGGTAGAGCCCACTCAGTTGTGTTTCAACAAGCTCTACAGATGATTCTGATGCTTGCTGATATTTGAGAACCTCAGGCTTACCATCCATGACCTGGGGGGTCCAAAACAATGTGTGAACCTTGCAGAAGACCTTCTTGCACATGTCCCACACATGAAAGGCATTGGAATAAGATGACCCAGGATAGCCAGTGATCAATGTGCGTGTAGCTCTCTGAGGCTGGTCTGGAGTATTTTCTGATACCCAGCCTAGAAATACGGTGGTGTAGCAGGCCTGTGGGTGGTTCTCGAAAAGTTTGCTGTATCAGACAATGGCAGTAAAGGAATGACTTACATAATTCATACATTAGTTAAAATTATGTAAGGGCCAAGAAGGAAAAGCATATGTGTCATCTCAGGCCCACTGGAGAGCAGACTCCGATGGATTTAGAAGTGCATGAGAAACTTTTTGTTCCTTTGTGCATTTTTGGTTTTGAGGGGGAAAGGAAGAGAGGAAGGAAGAGAGGGAAGGAGGGAGGGAAAGGGAGAAGGGGAAGAGGAGGAAAGGAAAGAAGGAAGGAGAGGAAGGAAGGGAGGGCAGAGTTTCAGTTTATGATATTGTCTTGACCAAATAAGGGAGAAGCTGCAGAGCACAGCCCACCCTCTAAGATCTTGTGCTGGGCACCAGTGACCAGGCACCAATGTCCCCCCTGTGCTGTGATTAGTTGGGAGCTGCCCAGGAAGAATGTGGCCTTGGCTCAAGCCCCCTGGCACATCTCAGGTCCACTGAAGCTCAAGGTGTGGAGTGTTTCCTAGGAGCCAAATCAGGCCAAGGTGGCCAATGTTCAAAGAGGTAGGAGGTAGTGAAACAGGCACGGATTAGATCACACGAAGTTGCCAGCTGCGTCACCGCATTTTATCTTTCCCTTTTAAGATAAAAGAGACCATTTCTAAGGATCGAGAAATGAGGATCCTTACCCTGTTAAGTAAACGCCTACTGATCTCAAACATTCTTTCTCAGTTTTTATTACTAATGAATATCTAGCTCACTTACATTGAATCCCTAAAAGCAGTAACATTGAAATTTGAATTTTGACCTTCATCAATGAACATGTGTTTAATAACCACACAAATTTGAATCTCTCTTCTTTGCAGTTGATATGTGGCCAGTATATAACATTTTCCTTATATCTTTCGAAGGTATTAGTGAGTCAATTAAGTGGGAGTTGTTTAATAGAAAATAGCTTTAACATTGTGTCTTTGTAATTCTCACCCCTGATTAGTTTGTCCAAGCTGATTCTTCTGAATGTATAAGAACAATTCCAGTGAACAGTATTATTTGCTTCATGGACATGTTTTAAAGAACCAGGGCAATAATCCATTTTGTGAGACTGCTTTATCACTAATAGGAACAGTTTGATAGAAAACAAAATAAACTTTGAACCCTCATAATGTTGGTAGAAATGTAGATTAGTACAGTATTAATAGAAAACAGTTAACGGGTTTCTGAAAGACTTAAAAATAGATCTCCCATATGATCCAGTGTTCCAACTACTAGGTGTATATCCAAAGGAAGTGAAATCAGTTCCTTAAAGAGTTATTTTCACTCCCATGTTCATTGCAGCATTATTTACAAAGGCCAAAGAATGGTAAAGAAAATGTGGTGTACATACACAGTGGAATACTATTTGGCTTTTAAAAAGAAGGAAGGAAATCCTGTAATTTGCAAAAACATGGCTGAACATAGAGAACATGTTTAGTGAAAGAAGCCAGACACCAAAAGACAGATACCACACCATCTCACTAATATGTTGGATCTAAAAATGTTGAACTTATAAAGGAAGAAAGTAAAATTCTGGGTAATCAGAGGCAGTAGGGGAGGAGAGGTTGGAAGATGTTGGCCATAGAATACAAAATTTTAATGAGGAGGGATAAGTTTAAGAGATCTCTTGTAGAACATGGTGACTGTGGTTAATGACAATGTTTTCTTGAAAATTGCTGAATCAATTTTAAATGTTTTCACTAAAAAAATAAAAGGATGGTACGTATGTGAGGTAATGCATATGTTAAGTAGCTATTCCACATAATGTATGCATGTTTTAAAACATGTTGCACAGAATAAACAATTTCAATTTTTCAACTAAATTACTATTTTAAAGAAGAAAAGAAAAAATAACCTTTGTGGGATTGAATTGTACCCTCCAAAAGTTTTGTAGGGTTTTGAGATAGTCATTTGGGGTGAAAAAAGAAAAAAGAAATTCTTTTGTAAAATATATATAATAAATACTATTTAAAAGGACTAATAATGTATATGAAATATGTTATATACGAGTACTATTAAAAGTAAAGAGAAGTTATTGGTGGTATATTAATTCGGGTAAGACAATGTAAATTTTAAGAGTTATACTACACATTAATTCTAGCAACAAAATGACCTAATATCTCTCTACTTTTTGTAGAGTATGAGATATATAGTTTTGAATGGAATATATTAATATATATCATATATTATATGAATTCTCTGAATTCAATGATTTAATAAGTCTGCTGTACCTTTCAGTATATGGGATAATGACCTAATGATAAAAATAATTGCTCAAAAATAAAGTAATTATGAAAATATAGAGCTATAATAAAAATAATGTAATTTACTGGTATTTTACTTGAACTTAAAGGTAGCATGTTATTCCTTTTATGGTAATGAATATTGATCCCTATATATCTTAATCCAAATTAAAACAATATATTTTATTTTAAAATTTCATATATCAGAAGATTTGCCACTATATCAAATAAAATGGGTCCATCAATTTTCATTTGGAGTCTAATAGCCTGACATTGCTAAAAGCATCCAAAACAAACAGTAAACATAGTTAAGTTTACTTGATTAGTTATTCTGATCTTTCTGAACTTAAACTTCATCACTTGAAATAAGGAATAGAAAAAGTTCTTCTTTTAATTGTAGATGTCTTTCCCCTCCTCTTTCAGGATTTTGCCTACCACTTTACAGTGTTTGTCTTCTACTTTGGAGCCTTCTTGCTGGAGGCAGCAGCCACCTCCCTGCATGATCTGCACTGCAACTCAACCATAACCTATGGCGTGCAGCCTCTCCTGAATGATAACCAGTATAACATCAACGTAGCGGCCACAGTAAGTGTTCAGTGAGTACAGTCTACCGGCACCAGCCTCCACTCTCCAGGTCTCCAAGAAACTCCTCAGGCCACAAAAGTCTCTTTAATAATAGCCGTCAACATTAAACTATAATAGCTGCTTAGCTGAACAGGGACCCTACAAACAATATACTGCTATCCCCTCAGTGTTGTAGATGATTAAACTGAAGCACACCAAGCCTGACATTCATGTAGAAGGACAGTGAGTCACTACTGCTGGACCTTGCACAGCACAGTCTGCTTTGTAAGAAGAATCAATTGTGTTGTCCACTTATTTAAATTTTCAGACATGATAAGGGAGATTTGTTCCTGGCTTTGCTCTTTAGTATTCTGTAATGTTGTTAATTGAAAATAACTTACCATAGACCTGTCATGTAGCAGGTAATTTGCTAGGGTGGGTGAGGATGAATAAGTTGCAATTCCTGCCATTGAGGAGAGTGCAGGTGAGCAGGGAAGGCAGGAAGCCATTATAGTGGATGATGGCCAAGGGAAATGTGTTCTGTAGGGAACTCTTTAAAATTTTTATCCTCTTTAATTCCTAGTATGAATTTGTCATTTTGTGTTCATATAGGGAATTTGAAGAAATGATATGTTTTTGTTTCTATAGATAATTTTTTTAGACTGTCACAAGTGGAAATTATTTCCTGAAATGCCTTGATATTGAACAGATTATATAGCAAGTTTAATGACCCTAGTATTTTACTGTTTCACCCAGGAAGCCTGTAAACAACCCCATACGCACCATGTAGTCATTGAAATCTGCTTGGAAGAGCACTTTATGATAGAACTTTCTGGAGTAATAGTGCTTTTTATATGTGTGCTATCCAATATGGTGTCCACTAGCCACATGTGGTTATAGAGCAATTAAATTAGCTAGAAGGACTAACTGAATTTTTAATGTGACTTAATTTTAGTAAATTCAAATTTAAATAGCCACCTATGGCCAGTGGCTGTCCAGGTTGAACAGTTCAGGTCTAGAGTCTGAGTTTTGAGGGGTAGAGGACAGATGATTTTAAAAACTGTGATAATTTTCAAATCTGTTAGGATTTTCAAAAATTCATTAAGTGCCTACAATGAATTACACTAAAAGTAAGATTACAACAGGAAAAAGTCATGCTTCTGGATTTGAAAGGGAGATAATTTGGATGGATAATTTTAATATTTTCTTTTATAAAAAAATAAAAACATTTTACTTAAGTCTTAAAACTTTGAAGGTGGGGGAAGTGGGCCTTGAATCTAACCCCTGCTCTGTTTCCATAAAGTCACCTCTACCCACTTCATCATCCCTAAGGGCAGAATGAAATCTTTGGAGTCCCTGTAATCCAAAGCTCGTGGTTGGAAAAACATCAATTTTTAACAATTTCACAAAGCGAAGTTCAGGGACCAGGAGCTGACATTTTTCCTTTCTGTTAGTCCTCAGCCCCACTGGATTTTCCTTACTTGTTTCTTACTTCCAGTCCCTCCCTTTCCATGGTGTCAGCTGGATCTCACTACCTTCTCTAGGATCATTGAGGAAGCCCCATTTTGGTCTGTCGATAGCAGCCCTAAGCTCTGACTTTGACATGGATAGTAAGATCTCAAATAGGTGAAGAGGAGCTAATGTCACCAGGGCATAGCCTTGCCCTATGGGCGAGGCATGTTTTCAGAGCTCTCCGAAGTGTAATTCTGCTCTGGCTCGGTCTTTTCTGTTACTTTGCCAGCTTTCCTTCACTTTTTTCTCTGCCTAAGAGAAGCTGCCTTAGTAAACCCAACGCATGCTTCAAGTTCTACCTAAGTCCCATTTCATCCTCACACTCCTAAGTAAATCTCTAGTTCCGGAGTGTGTATAGCACTGGCATGTATCAGTCGTTCACTGTGGCATTTTATTGCATGCTTTTCTTTTTCTTTCAGTATATGTACCTAATGATTCCTTTTCGTTAGTAATAGATATTGAAATCAGTCGTTCTCATTCAGAGGATTATGTGGAGATTAGAAATTTATGAGAAAAATAACAGAAGGAGGGTGGGAGAATAGTGGAATGGTAGTTGAATTGTGAAAATGTTCTATAGGTGAATCTGCTATTCCTTCCCAGAGCTGTAGTTTCCTGGATAAGAATCCCAGCACAAAATCATAGTATATTATCATACTGAACTGCTTTGTCCTGCAGTTTTCTAGGGATCATAATCCCCAAAACCTGAAGACAAGATGCACTGTGTGTCTTTGTGCCCTGAATGCAGTGAGGTACATGTGGTTGGTGCTGACGAAATCCTCACTGACCCCTAAGGATTCAGAGGAGGTACATCTGGTGCCTGAGGACTGTTTCCCACATAAGATAGCCAGCCCAGTGATCCTGGGTTCTCTTCATTGAGTTGTAAATAGAAAGCATTCGATGTATCTCCAAGTTTTGATACTTACTGTCTTTGTTGGCTATGAATCACTATATGAATAGATAACTCATATTGAATTTTTTAATACAATGCCTGGGGTTTTATAAATACTTAAGAAGTAACCCCCCAAAATATAAGTGAACCCAGTAGTGAGCAAATGTCCAACATAAGGCTGTCTACTCATGAGAAAAGCACTAGGGGCTAGAATGTTTAAAAAGAAGGGGTAAGGGTGTTAAGGTTAAAACAATGGCAAGTCACCAAAAAGATTATTATAAATCATTTCATAAATGCTGAAGTATATTCAGGTAAGTCAGTCAGTCTTCAAGTCATTGCCCCTTAGGAATGCATGTTCTTAAAGTCAGTTATGAACCTGATATTAGTTTTCATTTCTTTCTCTTTAGGTTTTTGCCTTTATGACAACAGCATGTTATGGTTGCAGTTTGTGTCTGGCTTTACGAAGATGGCGACCCTAACACTCCTTGGAAACTAATAGTCGTGTGTTAGTTTCATTTGTCTATTTTGTAATATGTCCGATCAATTTGTATGCTGTGTTGTCCAGATATAACAACATTCCAAATATAATCTGTTTAGTAAATAGAGAAAATCTTAAGTGCAAGTTTTGGTTTATTTCCTTGGTGGAATTTTAATTTTATTATGATATTAAGTGGAGAAATAGCCTTTCATTTTATACCTCTTTACAATTAAAATTCCCATAATGTTCCTAAAATATACAGGGATCAATCATGAAAAAGTAGCATCCCTTTTGTTTGCTCAGTCACCTGAACCTTAATATTAATAGATTTATAATACTCCCTAAAACTTACACATTTCAAACAAGCTTCCCAACTGAATTCCATCTTTTAATGTAAAAGAAGAATTGGACACTTTTTCTGCAAAGAACTAGATGGTCCATATTTAGGCTTCATGTATCATACATTCCGTCTCCATCGAGACTATTTAGTTCTGCCTTTGCAGCATGATAGCAGCCATCGTCAGCATGTCAGTGAATGAATGTGGCTGTGTCCCAATAAAGCTTTGTTGACAAAAAGAGGGGATAGGCTACGTATGGCCCACAGGCTATGGTTTGTCAACCTCTGGTGAAAAACCTTAGTTATGTGTTCTGTATTTTACTGAATTGATCATGAAGGTTTATAAACCTAGTTAGACAAGCCACATGACATTTAGTCTCATTATGCAACAATCACACTGCCTTTTGTTAATGGTCAAATACTTACCCTTGGAAGGACATGTAGCTTCTCAAGCTAATTCTAACAGAGTCTTGGGTATAGGGAAAAGTAATTTGTGAAGTGAACCTTACTTGCTTAATCTAACTAATGATCTCACAGCTGAGCAAGACTCTCTCCCGAGTGTTCTTCAAACAGGATCCCCAGAGACCATCAGTGACAGCTGGAACTGGTATTCACCTACTTATGTCTTACTTCGGTTTATTTATGCTTCAGATCACAGTTGTTTGCCAGGTGCATGAATATAAGAATATTTATATATGTGAAGCTTTTTCAAATAGAGCTTTCTGAAGACTTAACTTTTTACTTCTAATTATTTTGCATTACTTTTTGAATAGAATATTAAATGTAGCATAAAGTTGTAGATTTCATGTTTTGCTAAGAGCCCAGATATCTGTGTTGCTTTTGCATTGGTGACAGACAAAATCAGTTGAAAACAATAGCACAAAAAATGAAAAAAAAAATTGATATAAAAAATTAATCTTTTAGAGACACTGGTCATGGAAACATACCAAAATGGCTTGAATGGGACTTGGGGTTAGACCATGGCTCCCACCATGCTCTCCATGCATTGTATGTCTGTTGCCCTAAGAAGGTCACCTTTGGGAACAGAGGGCTTTGGGATTGCTTTACTGTTTTAGCCCTCTGTATTCTGGCTGAATCGCCCACTAGGAGTGCCATGTACACATTGGGCAATTGGGTTTCATGGAACATGGAGCAACCATGAATGAGTAGCATGATCAATGCCCAGTGATCAAACACTATTTATCTGATACTCCCATAGTAAAAAGAGCCCTGTTAGAGCTTGGTTTGTGATAAAATCATAAAGATAAAAGAGATGTTTCAATATATAGCTTGGGAAAATCAGTCTTATGACTTTATGCTTTCTATAATATCTCACTTCCTTGATTTTTCTAGGTCCATACCACACACCTAAACCTGTATTATGAATTATATATTACAAAGTCATAAACGTGCCATAAAGATATATTGTATATTCTACTTGGAATCATTTGAAGGTAGTCTGCTAGAATTTAGTGGTGAGATTTTATTTTTTTCCCCTAAGGTATAACAGGCTATACTTGGTGGCATTAAATTAAATGATTTCATTAAAATGTGTTGGTGGCACTTTTGTAAATGGACTGCTTCTAGATCTTTAAGAACCAAATCTAAAATGCCTAACTGTGAATACTTAGATTTGTAGATTAATCGCATTCTGGATTTGTGAGTTGAGTGATAAAGCACTTGAACAAAAATTATAGCATTTAAGAATTTCTTTACATAGCTGTAAAAATGAGAAAGTGTTGGTTGGTCTTAAAATCTGGTAACTCCACTATGAAAAGAAATTTATTTTATAAGTGTTATGACTCTAATAAAGTATTCATTTGATAATCTCTTTGGTCATCTATTTCTTATACTATTCACTTTGAAATTCAGTTAAAGGTTTGATATAAACTTGATAGAACTTCTAGACTCATAAGAGTTCTGTTTTAAACATTGTATGTAAAAGAATCTTTAAAAAAAAGTGAGTAAATCTTTTTTCCTTGATGAGGCAAGTCTTTGGAAGTAATAGTGAAAAGGAAATTCAAATGAAAATTCTACTCCATTTTATTCAAAGAACATTTATACAGTGCACTATATGTACCATGCATTTGCTAAGTGTTTTTTTTTTAATATCAGCTTTAATCCTCATCATAACCTGAAGGGGTGGATACTATTATCTTGTTTAAAAGATTAGGGTACTAAAACACACTGTAAAAAAGATTAAGGATCACATACCTACCAAGTGAGAAAATGAGATTTAAACCCCAACAGTCTGGCTTCAAAGTTGAAGCTCTTAATTTCTATTTGTACCTCAGTTCTCCCAGAGTTTACATTCAAACATGACCCTCTTTTCCCAAAAGAAATTTTTAGCAGAATGTTTAACATAATTGTTTGTAGTGGATGTCATCTTTTAGAACATCATTGTCATGATCAAAGCTCATGATTTCAGTTACAGGAACTTGGGCCAGACCTGCACCATGGGAAAAATGTTAGACACCTCTATTCTGCAAAGGCTCCTGAGTGCATGGCTGCCTGTTCCTGTTGTCTTAACACCAGCATGGACCATGGGTTTCAGTAGCTTCATTACCCTGGCTTTCTAATCATTCCTGGAACTAATTTCAGAAGGAGTCTCTCTAGTCAGGTACACATGGACTTTATACATGGACAGTGAATTTTCATCTCTACACAGTCTAGAATATGGAATTCTAGTCATTATCATGAAAGTTTTGACTTTAAAATGCCATGCTTCTAGTTTGTTTCTCAGTGAGCCAATGTTTTGGGTGACAACATAAGGTGTTCATGGAGGAAGAGATCATCTTGGGGAGGAGATCATCTTAAGTGTATATGTATTTTTTAATGTTTTGAGAATTCAGCTTTGCAAAAGCAGCATGTTGCTTAGACTTTTATTAGGCTGGGCCCTAGCAAAATGTCAACACTAGTTCATGTGTCTGGATGACAATTCTGGAATACTGGCTTCCTCACTCTCTCTGGGTCACTGTTCATTATCACTGCAGTGAGACCTACCTTGCATCTCACACTAGCACCCCCTGTTCCCCTTTTCTTCATTTTCCTCCAAAGTGATTATGACATGATAGCATTTTTTTTAAATATTAGCTTTAATCCTCATAAATGTAGATAGGTGTAACATAATTTATATATTTAGATTCTACCCTTCTCCACCAGATTGTAAGGCTTGTGGAGAGGAATCATCTGCTCCATTGATGGCTATATCCGCTGGGCCTGGAATAGAACAGAGAAAATAGCATACTCTCAGAAAATACATATTAAATTAGCAAATGAATGAATGCTAACCACCACACCTCACTTTTGAGTTTCAGCCAATATATTCTGTAAAAATTGATCTTGTTAGCACTTGAAAATGTGTAGTACATAATGGCTAGGCATTTGTAGCCTAGGTCATGATATAGGCTGAATTCTTCCAGGATCTTTGGTAATTAAATATATATGAGTTATAAATATGCCATATAATCAGTTCTCTGTATCAGAGGACTTGTGCATATAAAACTTTAACATCCTATCTAAACTTATTAGATATTTATTCCCATTTTTTTATCATGACTAAAGAAGTCACTGTAGCCTCAACTGACTCAAGAAATAATTATCAGAACTAAGAATTGATTGATAAAGGTGTCTCTTCTGTAATTGTAATGGGAATAGACTATGGCTAATGGTTTAGATGAGAAGCATTCTTCTACACCGGGAATGGGAAGAAGATATCTGCATGTGTAACATGACATTTTATTGTTTTAGCCTCCCAACTCTGAGCTGTACCCTTGGATATATGTAAGGTCAACCCTATGATGCATGTTATTATAGACCTCCCATATGTAGGTTTGATGTGTTCTAAGTGTGTCAGGTGGCCTGAGCCAGTATATAGTTTTGCTGAAGCAATGACACATCACTGAGATGAAATTTTCATGTTGCACATGTCGACATCTAAATATACCATCTTACTGAATATACCCGAACTTTTATATCAGAATCTTTTTGAATATGAATAATCTTACTTATGTACATAGTGTCTAAAAATATCATTTGTTACTTTTATATTTGGTCTATTGTCTTAATATTTGAGCATGAATTTTCTATTCATGTGAACTATATGAGCTAGTGTCAACTCATTTTAACTCTAGTAAAACATTTTCATTTGTAGATCACAAATATAGTTAAAAAATTTCTTTTGTCATCTTGTAATGAATCATCTTGCACATTTCTGAAAGTAAACATACTCCCATTTTGGAGGCCAGGGAAATGGAGCATTGACTAGGAGGTCATAAAAATGAATCTATCTCCCTTGCTGGTTTGATGGAAGTGTTAAATGAGATAATAAAGTGAAGTATCTGACAGAGGACTGGCAGCTATAAGTGCTGACTTCTTTAAATACCTGTGCTATGGTTTCCCAGGAAGATGACAGATACTCCATTTCTTTAGAGTGATAAAGTTGTCTCAGTCTCCCAAATTAACTGTTTAACAAATGTACTCATTTAGAACAAATTCTGAACAAATAAATATGTTCTTTCCCAAACTGACATGAATAAGTTGCCCAGTTTTGTATTAGTGGTTTTTTTCTTTTTTTTTTAAGAAAGAGAATTTTTAATATTCATTTTTTAGTTTTCGGCGGACACAAGATCTTTGTTTGTATGTGGTGCTGAGGATCAAACCCAGGCTGCACGCATCCAGGCGAGCACGCTACCGCTTGAGCCACATCCTCAGCCCTATTAGTGTTTTTTTTTAACAGTGATACTTTCAATGTGAATTAGAAAATTATAACTGGCAGGGAAAACACATGATTTCATGAATATATTATACTAAGGATTTGTCATGAGCCATCCATGGGCTGCATGTGGGTCACCATGCACGGGAGCCTAGTGAATAGAAACATCTGGTGTCTGAGAATGAGCAGTGGACATTTTCTCTGGTCAGTTGCCCAGGGACAGTGTGAATTTCTATCCTGCTCTTCCATGGCCCACAAAGCACCTGAAGTGGGTATGACCTGAGAAGATGCCAATCAACCTGCTGACTACTAGACATCACAAAGGAAGACTTCATCCTTGAAACTTTATCCATGCCTTTGATGTACCCTCTTAAACAAACCACCAGAGTCATCTTTTCTCTGTCTAGTTCCAGCACCCATCTGGACTAGATCTATCAGGGGCTTCACGATTGTAAATACATTTCTGACTATTTGTGTTTTGTTATTCACTAATTATTTGAGAATTTAAGTTTTTAGCATGGCTTATATTCTCCTGGGCAGGAAGAAGAACCCTCTAATGAGACCCCGGTTATAGCCCCCATTAAGGATTCAAGAAGGAAGACGTATTTCTCTTAATAGCTGCGTGACTTGAAGCAAGTCCCTTGATTTACCCCAGCTTATATCGTCATTTCATCTATCACTGGGAGAGTGGGTTCTTTGGGAAGGAATAAGCCAAGATGGAGTTAGAAGGGGAAGATGCTTTTTGGAGATTGGAACTATGGAGATAAAAATGGTGGAATACTGAGTACAAAGGGAAACTCTATCCCTGATGCAGGTCTGGCTCTTGTGAAAGGAAGAGGAGTAAGATCAGGTAGGAAGAGCCTCAGATGGTGCTATACTTCTAAAAAGTCTCATCCAGTGAACATTGAGCTCAGGCACAGACTGTCCACAGAGTCCCACACTGGCCAGAATTCATAAGCCCTGTACTGACTCTGTGTCTTACTGTTCTCTATGGATTGGATTACCCAGAAACAGTGTGGCCTCAGCTCACTGGCTTAAAAGACAAAAGAAGATCCTCAATGCACCTGAAACTGGAGGCTATCAGTGCACTTCCTGGGGATAACTCTATTGGAAGTCGGAACAGCACACGTTGTTGTAATTGCTGCTTTTTGTCCCTTGTGCCAAAAAAATCCACTTCTCCAAACTGTATTTGGAACCACTCCTTCATTCTCCTCTCTTCATGAAGGGATGAATTAGAAAATGGAAGTTAGTGGGCAAACTGATAGCCACATCACTACAGTTGGTTTTAGGGCCTCTGGTGTGTGACCCAAGACCTCATCCCTGAGTGGTCTGAATCCCCAAATATGCCCTTTTCTTGTGAAGTGGAGGGTCACCATCAGGCAAGGAAGTGTGAATGAGGTGCCTGAGCGGACCACTTGACTTCCATACATATCTCTCCTTGCCCTCCCCTTTCCTGACGAGGACAAATTACCCCTGCAAAGAGAGACTCCTTCTTGCCAAATGGTCCCCTAAAGGTTCAAAAAGCCTCAGTAGCAGTCATGGCATAGGGTTCAATGAAACCATTGCTCTGCTCCCCTGTAAGAATGAACCCAAAGTTTCAAGGAAAGGAAGCCCCAAGTCTTCAGTGAGTCATTGGAAATGATGGTACATGGGACCACTCCTGTTTCCATCTGCTTTTCCAGCTCCATAAATTCTTCCTTTTGAGGACACAAGACCCTACAGATGTGTCAGATTCAGTGTGTGTATGGGACTCAGGAACATAGCACCTTGATCTCAGAATTTTCCGAGAGCTTCAACTCTGCTTTCAGCAGGCCATTCCAACTGCAGCCAGCCCAGCCATTTCTGGATATTCTGATCAATGACCAAAATCGTGGGAATAGCTCCCTGGCTATGCCGAATGGAATGTGATGTCATACTGATTAGTCTAGCATTCCATAGTCCACTGTGCATCATGCTGCATATATTATGACCTCAGGACACTTTCTTCTACAAACAGTGAGTGAGATAAACTTAGGGGGAAAATAAAAACATGCAGGTATGTCTTTATGACTTTGGACTTGATCATGGCTTATCAAAAGTAACACAGAAAGTACCAGAAAGAAAAAAGAAATGAGTGAATTGGACTTCATGAAAATAAAAACTATTGTCAGAGAGTTTCAAGATGGAAGAATAGAGAAGGTCACTTTCCTGGCTGTTCCATGGTATGAAACCAAGAAAGCAGACAGATGGATTCTCAGCAAGGTGGATGAACAACAACAACAAAAAAGTTGGTGGGGGAGCTTTACTAGAATTTAATATTGGACCCTCAAACAGATTGGGGACCCAGGAGGCTGGATATAATAAAATAAGTAAAAAATACCCAGTGCCACAGCCACTGACTGCCATGGCCAGGGAACACCAACTGCAGTATCCCCCTGTGACCAAAATGGATGGATGAGGGAACTAAAGGAAACCATATTTTTAGGAGGACTTAGGCATGTCTGGGTATGGAGTTAAGAGATCAAAGACTATCTTGACTAAACTGAAAGGCATGTTGCACAATATCATTGTACGGGAGAGAAAGTGCATCTCTCCTGGTGGCATGCAGAGGACAGAGGAAGGAACAATTTTGCAGCTGCAGTGCAGGGATTGGCAGCTGAGGGAACCTATTCCTGGAAAATCTGAGTTTGGCCCAAAATACAAGCCTAGAAAACCCACACTGCATGATATAGAGTGTGCCTAAGTGAAAAGGAAAAAACCAAACATGGAGAGAGGTTTACACAGGGGACAAGTAGTCATGGAAATCCATCTGGCTCTCCTTCTCCCCCCACCGATCCAGCTGTTTGCAGGACTGGGTGGAAGAAATATGATTGACCATATTAAAAAGGGTAGAGGAAGGAGAGATTGAGTTTAGAGACTGAAGCCAAAGCCAGGAAATATGAGGTCCAGAGGTGACAGAGTGGACTAAAAATAGGCTCCTCTACAACATGAGTGGAACCCAGGAAAGATCGCAGGGGTGCAGTCTTCCAACATGAATCAGCAATTTCTGGGTGATGAAGGTGTGCTGATTTAAAATCTCCAAGCCAATTGTCATTCATCAAAGAGCCTTGAACCTACCTAAGCCTAAACCCTGCTTCCAGGAATTCTACCTACTGGTATTATCTCTATCTCTCTAGCAAACCCACCCTGAGGGTGGAGCAAGCATCATACTCCAGATGCACCCACCTAATAGTGCTGAGAAGGGAAGCTGAGAATCTTTTGAACTCCAATGCAAACAATTCTTTAACTTTTCATTAAGGTTTTTTTTTTTTCTTTCTCTGTTTACTTGTGGCATTAATGGTTTATGGACACTTATACATGTTAATGTTTGTTCACTTTTCTCATTTCTAGCATTTTTGAAACCTGTTATTTTTCATGCATCAGTTTTTTGAGGACTAGAATATTTGATTCAATTGTTTTGTATTCTCTTGTTTTTAGTTTTTTACTTTCCCTTGATTCTCTTTATCTATTTCTTCTGCTAACAGCC